GTTCTGCATCCATGCGTTGGGGAATGACAGGGGGCCCCGTTCCAGAGCAGGAAAGGAAGCCAGCGGGACGGAAATCACAGCCCAATCTGAGCACACAGAGCCTGGAAACTGGAATCCAGAAGTGGGAACTCACACCCAGAATTCAGAGCCTGTAATCCAGATCCTAGAATCCAGGATCAGAATCTAGATTCCAATGATACCAAGCTCTAAAATCCAGACACAAGAATTCAGAGCCCAGAATCTAAAATTTAGTCCAAGGACCCAAACTCCAGACCCAATAACCCATATTCCAGAATCCAGGATCAAAAAACCTAGGTCCTGGCTCAGTACCTGTGGCTCAAGGGACCAGCCGCATACACCTGAGCTGGCGGGTTTGAATCCTGCCTGGCCCACCAAATGATGGCTGCAACCAAAAAATAGCCAGGCATCGTGGCAGGCACCTGTAATCCCAGCTACTTGGGAGACAGAGGCAGGAGAATCACTTGAGCCCAGGAGTTGGAGGTTGCTGTGAGCTGTGATGCCACGGCATTCTACCCAGGGCAATTGCTTGAGGCTCTGTCTCAGAAAAAAACAAAAAAAACAATAACCTAGACCCTGCCAGGCTCAGGGGCTCATGCCTGTAATCCCAGCACTGTGGGGGCCTGAGGCAGGAGGATTGCTTGAGCTCTGGAATTTGAGACTTGTCTGAGCAAAAGTAGGATCCCAACTCATGAAAAAAATGAAAAACCCAGCTGGGCATTGTGGTGAGCATAATTTCAGCAGCTTCAGGAGTCTGAGGTTGCAGTCAGCTATGACATCACTGCACTCTGCTCAGGGTATAGGGTAGAACTCTATCTCAACAACAACAAAGGGGGCGGTGCCTGTGGCTCAGTGAGTAGGGCGCAGTCCCCATATACCGAGGGTGGCGGGTTCAAACCTGGTCCCGGCCAAACTGCAACAAAAAAACAGCCGGGTGTTGTGGCGGGCACCTGTCCCAGCTATTTGGGAGGCTGAGGAAAGGGAATCACCCAAGCCCAGGAGTTGGAGGTTGCTGTGAGGTGTGTGATGCCATGGCATTCTACTGAGGGCAATAAAGTGAGACTCTGTCT